ATTCGTCAAAGTATTCCTGTGTTAGTCAAATCAAATCTTTCTTTTTCCAATAAAGTCTTACAATTCGTTAGAAAATATAATGATCCAACTGTACCAATATTCTTCCTAATGAAAACATTCGAATCTTTATTTCTTGATGATATACAAAATTTCTCAATTTATTTGGATAAACTTCGAATGAAATTATTTACTTTGGATAATTATAATAAATTTAAACAAAAAATCTCTGATATATTTTCAAAATTAGAAGAAGATCAATTATTCAATTATTTAGAAAATATTGCAAAAAAATAAATTCCATTTCATTTTGTTTCATACTAATTCTTTAAATTTGTTCTTATTTATTTACGAAAAGAAAAAAGATAATAAAAAACTCTCAATAGAGTATAACATCTATATTATTTAATTTTTGTTGTTACTTTCTATCCAACGTTTCATGAGAGTATTTGAAGGAAGATTTTTATCGATCAATTTGTTAGCTGTTTCAACACCAGCTACTGGTAAATTTGTATTATTCAAAAGACCTATTTGTACCAATACTGAAGCTTGATCCCAATAGATATGTTCATTACAAATTTTTCCATCATGAAAAGTAACAATAGCAACTAATGGTATCTTAACATATTTACCAGTAGGTGAAATATTACGTAACATCCAATCAATTTCACGATCATGAGTAAAACAGAATAACATTTCATCTACAACACGATCCGTTCCAACTACACGTGAGATTGGAATTATTTTTGTATCATCTGGATTATTATTAAGAAAATGATGTTCATAAAAACGTGATAAATCTTTCGCACCAACACCACCTGTCATTGTTGGAATATGATTAACATAAGGATCTGATACCATCGTTAACATTGTAGCAGCAACATCACGTCTATTAAATTCATGTTCGCAATGTTTATCCCACAATGCTGCGAGATCATATCGTGGAATTGATACTTTCATAGCTGAGTTCGTATCCGTTGTTATAATGGTCGGTTCATTATTTACTGAATAAAAATGTAACGTTGAAAATGAAAATTAATATAATTAATAATATTCATCCTTTAGGAAAATAGTTCAAACATCTTTAAAAGAACAATTAACTAATTATTTTTCTTTCGTTTCTAAATAATAATTATAGAATTATTACCTTTCTCATGTCTTGTTGATATGTCGTCATTAAATTCATCATTAATTAGAATATTTGCAGAATATTCTTCATTATCAACTATAGATTTTTCCATCTAGATTCTAGAATTAACAAACATAAAACTAACTTATTTTCTCTTAAAACACACTCTCTTGTGTATACATCATAGTATAATGATTCTCTTTTATCAAAGTTAGATACATACCAATAGTCGACAAGTGAAAGAAAAGAGAAATGTAAGAAGAGGAATATATATATAAAACTATTGTTTATTACTGGACTAGTTAAATCGAAAAAGACAATATATATATATGTGAAAGAAAAGAGGATGATGTATGCTATTCTCTAACATGTACTTATTACTAAATACAACATAACAATAAAGTAAAGAATACTTTAATTTCTTATCTTTGAACAATTTTGTTCGATGAATATGATTCAGACGTTAGTCATGTCATATCAGTATCGAAAAAGAGAGAAGCCATAAATCAAATCATTTTTAGACATACATAAAAAAGAGAAATATAGTTGAAGGAAAGAACGTCATAAATTTTTATTAAATAGGTATATTGATTTTATTTGACATTCTAATACAACAACTCACTCTATTTTTACTTCGTTAGGAAGTACGATGAATTGAATTAGTTTTTCTAACATAGTATGTTTATCACACACGTACCAATCAAATAAGATTGCATTTACGAGAAGAAAAAAACTGTTATAATTTGTATTGATTTTAATCAAAATATATGAGTTAAATAAAAAAAAAAGTAATTTTATTCACACATAACATTTACTTAACAAATAGTCGGAACTAAATGTTCTTTTTATTTTATACGTTAGATATTCTTTTCTTTAATACTCAATATAAAAGAATAACGAAAATATTCTTTTTATGAGAAACACAATATTGATTGTTTACTGATTTTATTAATGGTTTCTTAGATAATTTCAATGATATAAGAATACTGACGAAATAAACCAAAACAAAAAAAAATACCCACATACAGTCATCCTCATTCTATGATTCATAGTGAGTCAATGACTAGAACATTCTTTTTATTCATTCCTCTCCACTGTGATACGATAGTATAGTTACTCTGATTCATCTAATATATGATAAATTCTTTCTCGTTCTCTCCGACAATATTGACTCAAGCCAACAACCCTATATAAAGAAGCGACACACCAGTCGACAATACCATTACACAAAACTTCTAACATGCTTCGAATCAAACCTAATCCGACCACATCTATTCTTGTTCCTCATCGACAACAACAACAACAACAACAAACAGAGTATGTACCTTTGAAAAAAGTGAGTATTGACGCAACAATTCGTGCATTTGCTGCGGATGTAACTATTACACAAGTATTTCGCAACGATGAAAAAACATCAATCGAAGCAGTTTATTGTTTTCCTATTGAAGAACAAGCAGCAATTTACAAATTTGTCGCTCGAATTGATGATCGAAAAGTTATTGCTGAATTAAAAGAGAAAAAAGAAGCACAACAAGAATATAACGATGCTTTACAACAAGGTCATGGCGCTTATCTATTGGAACAAGATGAAAAATCTCAAGACAATTTTATAATTAATGTTGGTGCTTTATTACCATCAAAAGAATGTACAATTACTATTAGTTATGTAACAGAATTGGAACTTGTTCAAGGATCAACTATTCGATTTGTTATTCCAACAACAATTGCACCACGTTATAATCCTGAGAAAAGTGGTATTGCATCACCAGCTGGTACGAATTCGAAATATGTTCAATCAAGTTCATATACCATAGATTTTCGTTGTCAAATTGAAAAACTAGTTGCATCTCTTGAAGAACAAATAACTCGAGTTAGTTCATCATCACATCCAATTGAAATTAATTTAGCACAACAAGATGCGTATGTTGTAACATTTGCTCAACAGAATACTCATTTGGATCGAGATATTCTAATTAATATTGAATTATCCAATAAACGAAATAATACTATTGTTGCTGTTGAACCAGGTGCTGTAATGGCTGCTTTTATTCCAACAGAAGAAGAATGTCAACAAGTATCGAAGAATGATTTAACTAATGAATTTATTTTTGTTGTCGATTGTAGTGGATCAATGCAAGACGAAAATAAAATTGGATTAGCTCGACAAGCAATGTTACTCTTCTTCAAGAGTTTACCAGTCAATTGTCATTTTAATATCATTCGATTTGGCTCTCAATATAAACCTCTCTTCAACGAAATTACCGCTATTTACAATGAGAGTAATGCGAAACAAGCTGAAGAACTTATCCAGGGAATGCAAGCAGATCTTGGTGGAACTGAATTGGTAAGTTTTATTTCTTTTTTTTTTAAACTTTAATCATTCTTATATTTACATCTATTTTTAGTTGCGACCTCTACAATGGATTGAAGAACATCCACCTACTCAAGGTCATGCTCGTCAAATATTTCTTTTAACCGATGGTGAAATTTCAAATGTAACACAAGTGCTTGATCTCTGTCGTTCAATGGCCACATCAACTCGTATATTTTCATTTGGTTTAGGTCAATCACCTAGTCGATCGTTAGTAAAAGGTCTCGCTCGTGCAACCAATGGTCGATTTGTTTTTATTCCACCAAATGTAAACGTCGATATATATGTTGGAGAACAATTACAAAAAGCTCTTCAACCATGTATTACTAATGTTCATGTCAAATGGAATCTTGGAGTTCCTGTGCAAACTGCTCCAACACATTCCCCACCAGTTTATATGAACGATCGTTTAATTATCTACGCTCTGCTCGATGATAAAACCACTGTTTTTGATCACAATTCATCTGTCGAATTACAAACAGGATCCGATCATCATTCACTTGGCGTGGCTAAAATTAATCGTATACCAAATATAAGCAATAACGGTATACTAGCTCGTCTAGCAGCTAAAGCACTCATTCTTGAACTGCAACATAGTAAACTACCGTCATCAAATACCGGCAAGGTAACATCAGGTTCAAAACAGTCGCGTTTTCAAGAACTTCAAGAAACGACAACAACAAAAGTAGAGAAAATGGAAACATCATCGGAAGAAACAATTAAGCAACAGATTATTGCATTATCATTGAAATATAATATTTTAAGTCCTCATACGGCATTTGTTGGCATAGAAAAACGAACAAATGGAAATAATGCCGATATGGTTCTCCGCGAAGTGCCTATTCAAATTTCTGCTGACGATCAACATTTACAAATACCAACACAACAACTGTTCTTTGCTGGTAGTGCTAGCTGTGGTAGCGCTGTTAGACACAGTCCGATGATGCCTGCATTTAGCAACGCTAGGGCCAAGCGCTCTATGGCCATGCCACCAATGTCATCATGTGCAATGCCACCAGTACGATCGTCGCATGTACAGCTTGACTGTGTTACGACTTCCTCTGCATCTGCTGATTACGGAATGGCCTCGATGGAATGGAATGCTACAGTCGCCCCTAAGTTAAGCCCTATGCCCAAGAAAGAAGAGAAAAAGTCTTCGGAGAAAGAAACTTGGCCATCGAATGACCAAGACATCGTACGATATTTGATCAACAAACAAACATTTGATGGTTTATGGGATCTTGACTCAAACACAATTAAGAATTTGACTGGAAAAACACTTGGAGAATTCGTATCGGGAAATAGTGAAGTTGAGAGTCAAATACTGGTCTCAGCCATTATCATCGCTGCACTCGAGAAAAATTTTGCTGCGTTGACAACGATGTGGTTCGGTATCGTCCAAAAGGCTCGCAAACGTCTTATTGATCTCTTTGGAGGAGACTCTAAAAAACTCGATCAACTTCTTGAAAATATTCATAAAGAATTTTAAATAAATATAGGCGTGAGTGCGTTCAATAAATCTAAGAAAATGATACACATACTTTGAAACTTCTGCATTATGCTACTAGTGGACTAAATAGGATGTCCCAAAAGTTATGTCCATTAAATAAGAATAGGAAAGGTCATATGTTAATAGATTTAAATGAATAATTTTCAGATGAAATATCAATATTTTATCTACTGTCTTTGTTTAATTATTATTTATTGTAAATAAGATTTATATTATTATGATATCAATTTGTATAAAATATATGTATTAATAGTTCAAAGTTCGAGTCTAATTCAAGTAAAAAAGAAATTAAAATTCGATAAGTTCAGTTGAATAAAATCAATTATGTAGATATGTTTTCATATGAATTTGATCGTTTCTCCTAGATGTATATAGTTGGTAAGACAATAAATAGAATTTATTGAAACTTAAACATACTTTGTGCAAGCTTTTCCAAACCGACATGTTTGTTTATCAGAATGAGTATGACTTGCATTTTTCGAATGAATAAATTGTTCACGATGATCAGTGTCATTACTTTGAAAGAGAAAAATAACATAAACATATATACAACTTGATCAAAAGGCTTTTCATTTATTTTATAAGATCCAATTTATTTACTCCGATAAAAAGATATATTAAATGAAAAGTTTTTTTAGTTTCAATTTAAAATTATTGATTTTATTTTGATAGATATATAAAGAGTTCAACATACTTGTAACAATCAGCTCCATAGCGACACCATTGTTTGTCTGAAGAACGAGAAGTACTTCCGCCTGGATGTGAAAATTTTTTCAAATGATCTTGATCAGTACTTTTACAAGAAAAAAAGAACAAATAAAATGACAATAAATTCATTAAGTTTCATTTATATTTTTATCATAAATTCAGATACGTTCGTATCCTATCTTAGGTTAATATCGTAGATGGGTGTAGGTATGAGTATCTCATGTCTATTTACACCCACACCCTACACAATCACTTAAGCGAAAATATTTTCGTTACCGATAACAAGCTTTTCCATAACGACATGCTGGTTTTTCAAAATCATTATTAGCCAAATCTTTTGCACCATGATAATCTGCATCATTTGGATGTACGAATTCTTTCCGATGATCAGTATCTTTACTATGCACAAATAAATTGATAGATAATTAAAATTGAAGAAAAAGATCTTTTTTTTTATAATACTTGTAACATTCTCGACCATATCGACAATAACGCCGGGATCCAGCTATTGAAATTAAAATAAAAAAATGATATTTTAATTCTCGAATTACTTGTCATACCTGTTGATGATGAATTCGATGCATTAGCCATATGACCAGGTCGTGCAAGTTTAACTAAAATCTAATTCTATTAAATAATTTTTTTTAAATAGATAATTGACTTACGTAAACCTTGTCTAACATCATCAGGTACTTTCATATAACATACATCATCGACTGAACAAAATTTTTCATGTAATGCTTTAACAATTGTTCCAAATACGGGATGAGCTTTTAATTGCATTAATGTTGCTTTAGCAGTAGAACGATGATCAGGATTTTTCTTTAATAAAAGTTCAATAATCATTTTATAACCACCAATATCAGGAATAACAATATCTTTACCATTTTTATCATTACAAAAATTTTCATAGTCATATTGATCTTCCCATGGTAATTGACCACAAAATAAAAGATAAAACATAACACCAGCAGCCCAAACATCGGATTTTTTATGTAAATGTCTTGAAATAATATTTTTTGAATCACGTTGTAAAAATTCTGGTGAAACAAAAAATAAAGTAAAACCTTTCGTAATATCAACTGTCATTTGAGCACATCGAGTATTCATTTTCTCTACTGTACCAAAATCAATTAATTTAATACAAAAATTATCTCCATTAGGTACAATTACTAAATTTTGTGGTTTGATATCACCATGTACAATATTTAATTTTTCAAGAAATGTCAATGCACGTAAAACATAAACCATTATTATTATTCCATAGAAATTTAACTTATCTGATTCACCACCCTTTATTAAATCCATCCAAAATGTAAGAAGATCACAAGCAGCTAATTCCATGGCAATAAAAATGCCTTCGTTAGTTAATTTACTTCCATAATATTCAATAATAGGATGATTATCAATTGCAATTCTTTTTGTTAAACGTAAAAAATTTATTTCATTTTTAACTTCTTCTTGTAATCCAGCAGTATTTTTCATAATTTTAATAGCAACTATTTTATTTTGATTTTTTACTTTAGCTTTATGAACTTCTCCAAAACCACCTCGATTAACAAATTGAACAAGTTCATAAGTAACTCCTTCAATTTCTACTTCTCGATTTTCATTACGTATTACTGTTTCATTACCATCAGATTGTGCAAGAACTAAGATCATTTTAGCTATTTGTCCCACAGTTGCTTCATGTTGTCGTTTATTAGCTTCTTCTTGTTCAGCAAGACGTTTAGCCATATCAGCATTTTGTTTCATCAACGCATTTTGTTTTTGTTCTAGTTCTTCAAACTTAGATTTTGATTTGTTCGCTCCCATACTGATAACAAAGCAAGTGGAAGTAAAATTTGTATTCAAGAAAATAACAACAATAAATGTAACCTACTCGTATTTAAAGTATTTGGAATATTTTGGTAAAAACGTGTCGATGCAACAATAAACTTCGCCGAAGTATTCTTTTTCTTCCTTTTTATTTTATTACAGAAAGAAGAAAAATGTTTTTTATTTATTGTCTACATAATTTATGTTTTTTCTTTTTTTCTTTCTTTCTATTGAAGAAGAAAAAAACAACCTTTTTTGGCGTTTCTTTATATAGACACTTCCGAATATCTAAAAGAAGTCGCCGAAATATTTTATCTAATTGCATACAAAGCTTAAGGAAATTTTCTTTTGGTACCAGATAATAGATAAAATGAAATTCTATTTTTCTATGCTATTTTATTATACTTCAACTAATACCATTATAGTCATATTTTGATAAGAACTATTTGTGTATAAAATTTAACCAACGGGTGTGAGTCATAATGAATCACCGCGTTCTATTAAAGAAAAAAATATACCACAAGAAGCAGCGTGAAAAGCTCTATAATTAAAATATTTTTTAATAAAACGTATTAGATCAAAAAGTAAATTAGAAAATATGACTATTTATTATAATCCATCCGTTAATTAAGCTTTGTACAAAACAGCTCCTATCGAAATTTTATTATTATCTTGAGGGTATGGGTGTGATTGTTTTCGTTCATCTTTAACTCACGCTTATCGACCTACACACATCTATATTCATCAGTTGAATACCAGATTTTGAGGGTTTCGGTGTGAGTGTATCATCTCTTAATGTTCACTGGCACCTCCACACATAATCTTGCATTAAAAATATAAAAATACATGAAATTGTTGTTGATAATCAAGAATGAGAAAAGACTTTAATTAATTAATATTATCAAATATTGAGATCTTTCGATAATACATGAGTTATTTACATTTCTATATTGAGATGATAAAGAAGAATCTAAACTTAGTCTATGTTGCCAAAAGCATCTTTGACAACGTAATGACGGTCCCAGCTAATCGTTTTTTTCTGCAGCAAACTAGATATTACACCTATGACAATTTTCAACTAGAACTATTATTATTAATCAAAAAGATTCGTCACATCTTAGTATATACTGTGTTTCAGTACATGGAATCTGAATCTTAGTTCATGTATTTGTCCATTGCGATTTAACAAAATTTCTAGTCGCTATGCCGCAGCACAGTCTCCACGATCTTTGAAAAACAATGTTCACATTATTTCATAAGAATTTTTACGAAAAATTGACGAATTTTCTAAAAAAAGCAACAACAATCTCTTTTCGGCTCTTTCGTCTGATGTTCATGCATCTTTTTGCTGTTTCTCAGAAAAATTCATCGCATCATAATGAATAATTCAGAAACAGATCGGAATACTCAAAAACATTTATTTATTACATAGAGAAATAGAGAACGTGATTAAAAATGAGTCCTGACAAAGTAAATTATTTGACAGATTCAAATAAAAATATATCAAACTAATCATGACTTAGTCATTGACGTCAATCATTTATTGATAATGATATTTAATATCTTATTTTCACTAAAAACACGTTCGATGATTAATCTAGACTTTGATCAATTCTTCTTTCTCTTCATCACGTTCTTCTTCATTTAAATCAAAGATTTTTCTATAAAATCAAAAAAAGGATTATTTCGAATTTAAATTTCATTTTGTGTTTTCGAAAAGAATGAAATTCCATAATCAAATCTGAAATCAATTTTTATCTTGTCTACGATTAAACCTTCTCTAGAACATTATTTTTTCTCTTTATATTATTTTAGAGAAAATAAATAAGAGAAAAAGGGAGAGAAAGAAAGAAAGAAAGAAAGAGATATAACTAGAGAGAAAATTCATAATGAATGTCATTTTATTTTCATTGAAGATAAAGAAGAAAAGTATTATTTCATCAGTTAACTAATCAATCGAAAAGAAATCTTGTTGAATGATGTTGAATATCTCTATATTTATCATTATTCTTCTCTTTATTCCCAGCAATGAAACATTAGGTAAATATTTTTATTTATCACATATTGAAGATTAGTTATTACATGAATAAGATTATTCAAAGATGATGATTCTGATTCCTTCTCGAGTCCACATCCTCTCGTTTTAAAATGTGGAAAAAATGCTTTGTGGTTGAGAAACAGTTTTTTATCCTTTTGAGCACAGATTATCGATTCAATAGGTTAGAAACGTATATTTAAAGCGAAAAAAATTCTTATTGAAAAAGATCTACATCTCTGTGTGTACTTACGATAAACTTCCATTGACTTTGTTGTTTATTTAGCCAATATTTCCTTGGCTGTTAAAAATACTTATTCATCATCGTTGACTAAGAACAATCAAATTTATTTCCGGAATTGTGACAAATCAAACTTTTATTATGAATCTATCCAAGTGAAGGTGGTCGAAAGTGATT